TGGAATGCAGTGACATGATCTCGGCTGACTGCAGCCTCTTTCTCCTGGGTTCAAGTGATTCTCCTGTCTCAGCCTCCTAAGCAGCTGAGATTACAGTCGCCCACCATCATACCCGGCTGATTTTTTGTATTTTTAGTAGAGATGGGGTTTCACTATGTTGGCCGGGGTTTGGTATTGAACTCCTGACCTTAGGTGATCCACCTGCCTCAGCTTCCCAAAATGCTGGGATTACAGGAATGAGCCACCACATCGGGCCAAAGTGCTGGAATTTATAGGCATGAGCCACCATGCCCAGCCAGTTTTCTTAAACTTAATTCCCCACCTAATCTTTTTTGGCCTTGGTTTCAAGAGTAAAGATAACCTCTCTCAACTACTACTGCACTTCCACACGATCACTAGGATGATACTAAACTTTTAGAAATATGTTTAAAATTAGGGTTTTCTTAAAGCCTTCTTTTTTTCTGACTTTTGTGAACATCAGAATAAGTCTCATTTGTTTACAGCAAGGTTTCTCAACCTTATTACGAATGACATTTTGAGTCTGGTAATTGTTATTAGGGGAGATGGGGGACTGTCCTGTGAACTGTAGGATCTTTAGTAGAATCCCTGGCCACTAATCACTAGATGTTAGTAGTAAATCTGGCCATCACCTCCCCCTCCACACAACCAAAAACATCTTCACACATATACCCTCGAAGGGCAGAAATCACCTAGTTGAAAACACTGCATTATAGATGATTGCCTGGTTTCCCTTAAAATACATCACAACTTGAAATAAAAATGAGGTTGGATGCCTCAGAATATCTCCAGATATATTCAAACAGGATCTGGGTTAAAAAATCTGGCATGTTAAACCTTACAAAGTACCTCATCAGGCCTGGCGCAATGGCTAACACCTATAATCCCAGCACTTTTGGGAGGCCAAGGTGGGAGAATCACTTGAGCCTGGGAACAGGAGACCAGCCTAGGTAACACAGTGAGGACTTGTCTATAGTCCCAGCTATTGGGGAAGCTGAGGTAGGAGGATCATTTGAGTCTGGGAGGCTGAGGTTGCAGTGAGGGAAAACTGTGCCACTGTACTCCAGCTGGGGCCACAGAGCAAGACCCTGTCTCAAAAACAAACCAAGAAAAAACAATGAAAAAAACCCCACAAAGTACCTTCATCAAACCCCAGGTCAAGTCAGATCAGAAATGCTTTATCTGGCGTTACAGAAGGGAGGAAAAAACACTTTTCCTTTAACACTTAGATCCTATTTCATGAAATAATCTCACTAATAAAGAACAAAGAGGATGGTTGGGACTATACACAACTGACTAAAATGGTGTTTGAGTACCCCAGGTACAGTGGCTCATGTCTGTAATCCGAGCACGTTGGGAGGCTAAGGCAGAAGGATCACTTGAGCCCAGGAATAAACCAGCCTGGGCAACAAAGCCAGACCCTATCTCAAAAAAAAAAAAAAAAAAAAAAAACAACTTTAAATTAGCCAGACAGGGTGGTGTGTGCCTGGAGTCCCAGCTACCAGGGAGGCTGAGACAGGATGATCACTTAAGCCCAGGAGTTCAAGGATGCAATGAGCTATCATCAGGCCACCACACTCTAGCATGGGCAACAGAGCAAGACTCTTGTCTCAACCAAATGAAATGGTGTGAGTACAGGTAGGAGAGGACCCAAAGAAGAGGAAGACAAGTGCCTCATACTGGATTGTCCTTGGTCTGGTGTTATCATTGCTCTCAATGCTATTATTATTTTAGAAATGTTAAATTGAGTGAAAGTTAACATTGGTATGCATGAATGAAATCGACTATTTTGTGACTCAGAAAGGTGGCATTCAATAGTGAGGAACAAAACCAGATTTCATATAGATCTATAAGATGGAAAGGCCAGGTGCAGTAGCTCACACCTGTAATCCTAGCACTTTGGGAGGCCGAGGTTAAGTGGATCACTTGAGGCCAGGAGTTCAAAACCAGCCTGGACAACATGGTGAAAGCCCATATCTACTAAACATACAAAAATTAGCAAGATGTGGTGGTACACGCCTGTAATTCCAGCTACTCCAGAGGCTGAGGTATAATAGCTTGAACCTGGGACATGGCGGCTGCAGTGAGCTGAGATTGTGCCACTGCACTCCACCCAGGCAAAAGGACAAGATTCTATCTCAAGAAATAAAATAAAATGGAAAATGAGTAGCTATATGAAAGCAAACAAAGATCTAAGTTTTAGAAACTACAACCTTGAGAAATTGATGTTCTTTTGGACAAAAAAAAATTTAAAAATCAAAAAAATATAGACTGCCAGGCGTGGTGGCTCACGCCTGTAATCCCAGCACTTTGGGAGGCTGAGGCAGGCAGATCACGAGGTCAGGAGTTCGAGACCAGCCTGCCCAACGTGGTGAAACCCCGCATCTACTAAAAATACAAAAATTAGCTGGGCGTGGTAGCACATGCCTGGAAGCTCAGCTACTCAGGGCTGAGACAAGAGAACTGCTTGAACCTGGGGGGGTGGAGGTTGCAGTGAGCCAAGATTGCACCACTGCACTCCAGCCTGGGTGACAGAGTGAGTCTCCAGCTCAAAAATATATAAAATAATATATAAATCACACTGCCACGTGTGTACCTATGCAACAATCTTGCATGTTCTTCACATGTACCCCAAAACCTAAAATGCAATAAAATAAATGGAAAAAAAAAAATATATATATATATACATATATATATATATATATATATATATATATATACATAAACTATAACCTAATTATCAGACCTGGATTAAAAGTCAACATGATACTGACTTATAGTATCAGGAATATGAAGAACAAAGATGCTCAAAACATGCAAAAAGAGACACTGATAATTTTTTAAGTGGAGACATACTGGGAGACACTAAGGTTTCTTAGTATAACCAAAGGGACAGAAAAATGGGACCTAGGAAGTCTGGTGATTGAGAAAGATAATCAAAGCAGGTAAGAATTCACTATGAATAAAAATCCTGACCAAGTGGTCTCTCCAAAGAGGAGTCATGGTTATACTTCAGCAATCTGAGAGAATGGATCACAAGAGTGACATACACACTAGAGAGCCTACTATGATCTATATATCTGAGGACACTTGAGGTAACACGCTAATGGTAATAACAGAATGAAGTACTACAAGTTGCTGCAACTGTCAACTGTCACTCCTCTTGGTGACAACAGGGAGAAAACTGCTTTTAAAAACATAATTGCCAAAGCACCAACAATCAAGTTAATGAATGACAACTTTATTTTTCTTACATTTTTAAGGCTGAACCTTCATTTAAATTGAAAAATATGGTAATTGTATTTACTCATTAAATATTATTAAAGTTTTCTAAAACACAACTTGAAAACATCCAGCATGCATGTTTAATATCAGTACAATAAATTCAAGACCAAGTACACAAGTTACATGCAGCAAGGCTAGATTACAAATTATCATAGTCGTCGTCATCATCATCATCATCATCATCTTCATGTTTTCTTTTCAATGCATTTGATGATTCATTGGCAGTATTTTGTGATGACACCATATTAGTGGTAATAAGAATGTTTTTGGACCCAATTAATGATGGATTAATGAGAACATTCTGAACTGCTGAAGTTGCAGGAATTGAAGCTTTTACAGCTGGAGACTGTGATGTAGGCATCTGTACTGTAAACCTTTGTCCCGTGAGGGACATGGGAGTCCCCACTTTAGTTGAGACAGACATGGTCTGTGGGGTTGGTGTGCCTAGTGTGGGAGTACTTGGTCTGCTAGTAACTGAACCAACACTTAACCGCGGGACTGTTATTCTTCCTGCAGAAGTTGATGCCTTTTTCTGTAAAGATTTCAGCCTATAGTTTGGAGCTGTTAAGCAATACCTATCAGGTGGCAACCTAGGACCTGAATATGGCTTGATTAATGGCAAAGGCGTTTGATTTCTTTGCCTTGCAATATCTAATAAAAAATCTCTTGGGGGAGGAGAAGTAAAAGACTGGTCAGCGCGGCACTGGATTGCCAATCGCACATCATCTGCATCAACAGTAGCTTTCTTAGCATGGCTTGAATAAATTTTTGCATCATCTAGAATTGTGGTCACATATCGGAATGCAAACTCCAACATCTGATTTATAACTCTTGGCTCATATTCTGTAATCCCCATATCCTTCAGGATTTGTGCCATCATCTGTGCATCTTTCGGCATGCTCTTGGGAGAAGCCATCTTGCCAGACTCCATGATATCCGATGATCAGACTTTAGATCATTTGAAAAAAATATGTACATTAGATCAATCTGAAATAGTTACTTTAGTAGCAACTGTCAGGAACTTAAAAATTTTTAAATCTCATGTTAAACTGTAAAAAAATTTTTTTTAAAAATCAAACTATGTTTTCTTAATTTTAATGAGGCATACTTTAAGTCCCTTAAATTTATTGAGTTCCTACCATGTTCAAATCATTGTTGACTATAAAAATATGAAGACACAAATAAGGGAGAAATAAAAGATTAGAGGAAAACAAGGTAAAATAAATAACATCTATCATCTTAGAATACATGCAGTTGCATGCAAATCTCAAACTAATCTAAGATACCATAGCATAGTCATGTCCTACGCCCGAACTCAAAATAATCTTTTTCCAGGGAGACCAATATACTCACTGTGCTCATATACATGTTTAGCAGTACCAAACCTTTGTTTGCTCAACTTAAAAACATTCTCCTTATTCACATTCTACCTATCCTAAATCCAGTCTCTTCATAGGAGCCTTCCCAACTATTCACAAGAATTGCAGCCATTTTGAAGACAGAAGGGAAAATGGTCAAAATAACCAGGACATAGCATTAGACACTTACTATTTCTGTGGATTACCTAAGAGCATATATTCTTTAATGGCAAGCTGTTTTTCGTACCCTCTGACAATACCCAGCACTAACACTCCACTATCAGACTTTAAAAAAAAAAAAAAAAAAAAAAGCAAATCTAATATCAAAGTGTCCCTTACCTTCTCGAGCTAAATCACCCACATTAATGTATTTCAGTCCTGATTTTGATGCAAGTTCTTTGCCTAGTGTGGTTTTTCCAACCCCTGGTGTACCTGCAAGATAAGCCACAGAAAAATACTGTTTGTGAAATACTGCTCATCACACTGCAGCCCACCTTCTGCCCTTTTTTTTTGAGACAGAGTCTCCCCTGGTCTCTGCCCTTCTTAAGGTTCTTGATGAATGAAATGAAAAATCTTCTAATTAGCAATCATATGTAAATTTTTTTTTGAGATGGAGTTTCCTTCTTGTCACCCAGGCTGGAATGCAGTGGCGCAATCTCAACTCACTGCAACCTCCACCTCCCAGATTCAAGTGATTCTCCTGCCTCAGTCTCCTGAGCGGCTGGAATTACAGGCATCTGCCACCACACCCAGCTAATTTTTGCATTTTAGAGACGAGGTTTCCCCATATTGGCCAGGCTGGTCTCAAACTCCTGACCTCAGGTGATCCGCCCACCTCAGCCTCCCCAAGTGCAGGAATTACAGGCATGAGCCACCTCAATATGTACTATGATCTAATAAAAATTTTCCAAAGCTAACTGAATGTCAAAATATTACCCAGTGTATTGATCCTTCAAGGGTGAGGCTCAGCAGATTCTGACGCAGATTCAAACTGCCTGCTACTACCATGGAACTGCTCAGAATAAAATTAACCACCTCAAATCAATTACAGTTATTTACTTTTTTTTTTTTTAAAGACAAGATATCTTTTTGTTGCTAAGGTGGAGTGCAGTGGCACTTGGCTCACTGCAGCCTTGACCTCCTGGGCTCAAGCAATCCTCCCATCTCAGCATGTCCAGCAGATGAGGCCATAGGTATGTACCACCATGCCCTGGTTAATTTTTGTAGATGGGGTTTGGCTATGTTGCCCAGGCTGAGCTCAAGCAATCTGCCCACCTCCCTCTCCCAAAGTGCTGGGATTACAGGCATGAGCCACCCACGCGGCCTATTTGCTTTAATTTAAAAAGATTAAGAAACTGTTCATAGCCAGGTATGGTGGCTCATGCCTGTAATCCCAGCAATTTGGGAGGCCAAGGCAGGGGGATTGCTTAAGCTCAGGAGTTCGAGACCAGCCCGGGCAACATAATGAGACTCTGTCCCAGAACAAAAACAAAAACTGTTCATGTTAAAATGTAAGCAGTCTTACCCCTTGCACCCTTCCCTAGAGACAACCACTGTGAACCAGTTTCCCATACAGGTATATCTCCCCAGAGAAACCCTATATATGTGGCATATGAATGTACATGTATGTACATACTCTTTGTATATACATACATAAATACAACATATATTCCCTTTTACATAAATGACAATACTGTATACTATATACTATACATTGCTTACCTTCCCCTTTTGATACCTATTATAATTACATTTCAAGATCAAATTTGTAATTTTCAGCTATTCAGGTTTAACATCCCTGAAATTAAACTTGAGCATAAAGATAACAGGGATAATCCAGTTCCCATACGCAGAATAACAGTTACCTCAAGTCCACTATTAATTCACCAAGTCTGAACGCTGGACTCAACATGTTTTCAATAAAATGCTCACTTTAGAGTTTTGACAATGACACAATATTAATAACCAAAGCGCTATGTTTGATCCATGCAAAAAGATGTTGTAATATCTTCCACTTAAGAAATCTTAAGCCGGGCGCGGTGGCTCAAGCCTGTAATCCCAGCACTTTGGGAGGCCAAGGCGGGTGGATCACGAGGTCAAGAGATCGAAACCATCCTGGTCAACATGGTGAAACCCCGTCTCTACTAAAAATACACAACATTAGCTGGGCATGGTGGCACGTGCCTGTAATCCCAGCTACTCAGGAGGTTGAGGCAGGAGAATTGCCTGAACCCAGGAGGCGGAGGTTGTGGTGAGCCAGGATCGCGCCATTGCACTCCAGCCTGGGTAACAAGAGCGAAACTCCATCTCAAAAAAAAAAAAAAAAAAAAAGAAATCTTAAATGTTAAACATTATTTGTGGCGTAGTTAATCGGCACCTCTCAGAAACAGACATGTCTTGTGCGCTGCCAACCATCTTATGTTTAGATGAACGCTGTAACTTTACTGCTTTATTTCCACCCAGTCTTAATTTTTCGGTACGTTCCAATAAAATATACATGCATTAGATTTTTCCACGAATGGTCTACAATAAACACTTTCAGGACTAAAATATTCGATGAAGTCGTTACGCAGCATTTTAGTTCCTTCACTGATAACACGCACCCTGAGTATGGCTTCCAAGACCCACTCCTACTCGAGAAACGACCCGAAATGCTCACTAGATGCCTCTCCTTTAAGGTGTTGGGGGGAACCTCTGATGCAACTCAACAAAGGCATACAGTAATTTAGTCACACCACAAACATCTGAACTCATTTCCCGAAATCTGATCTGAGGAGTTTATCACAAGCAAAGAAAAAATAAAATACGGCCCAGGGAGGCCTAAGGAGTAAGGCATCCACCATTAATGGCTCTACTGGGAACCAGATATGGCCTTACATTATTTCGCTAAAAATCCCAAAGCCAAACCTGCCAAGGAATCAACAACCCATTTTACACACAAAATACCAGATTCAGAAAGACTAAGCCGACTGGCAAGCAGGAGAGCTGGATCTGCCGACCTCTCTTCTCCTCCCCCGGAAGTCTCGGGCCACCGGAATTAACGTTCCGTGTCCCCTCCCCCGCCTCCTGCGAAGCCAAGCCCGCGAGGGTCGGCCCCGGGGCGCTACAGCCGCCTCGCGGCCCTCGGGAGGCCTCCAAACAGGACACCGAGCGGGCCCCGAGGCCCAGAGCACGCCGCAAACCTCGCCTGCCCCCGCCCAGCCCCTCCCGGGATGCCTCCAAACAGAACACTGAGCGGCGTCCGAGGCCCAGAGTACTCCATAAACCTCGCCTGCCCCCGTCCAGCCCCTCCCAGCTTCCCGCCCTGACCGGTGAGCAGGATGTTCGGAAGCAACATGGTCCTCGCTGCGACTGCTCCGATCACCTCACTCAAGCGCCCTTTGCACTACGGGGAGGAGCCGGAAGGGGCGGGCGGCAGCAAGAACGCACGGGCCCCAAGGACCTCGAGGCCCACCGCGGCGCCCCCGGCCTGCCCCGGCGGCCCAGCTGCGGCCCACTAGTTACCTAACTTTCCCTAACACGTTTCCATCGCAAAGTTGGAGGGTGGGCATAACTCGCCTCGGTGCTTTGGGTCAGGCAGTGCTCTGGATGCCTAAGTCACACACTCCGGCGGGCCCCGCCCTTCGGTTGCGTCGCGGATGCGCCGACCAGTTTGAAAGGTCCCCGGGAGGCCGTACCTCAGAGAGGCCCGGATAGGGCCAGGTGCCTGGCTGCCCTTTCACCTGGGTTAGACCCTGGGCGCCTCCGCTCTTCGCCAAAAAAGGAATGCAGCTCCGGGAATGTAAGGCCGCCGCGGCTGCCGCTATAATATCTATATGTCTTAGAGACGCGAGTCTATCTCTGCCTTCAAGCTTTCTTGGGCTCTCGTCGCTCCTCCTCCCGACCCGCCCATCCCATCTGGGGATGAGAAGATTGAGGGTGCAGAGCCCAGTCCTGCAGCGGGGATTTGCGAGCTCAACCCGGCACCCTACTGATTACAGGATTACGTTGGACATATTTTTGAGCTTAGTATTCCCTGTTCACTGTGTGGGGTGGCGGTGGGTCGGCTAGGAATAGTCTTGAAGGTCTACCTCTGACATCTCATTTCAGGAACCTGGCATCTTCAGGGACAGTTACCTGCTTTTTAAAGGAGGTAATTAATTTTGTTTTCAAAGAGTGAATAGAGTGCTGACCGTGACAACAGTCTGCATCTTTTATTTCGAGCTGCAAACTATATTTACTCAAATGTTTTGTTTTGTTTTGTTTTTACCAACTGTGTACCTTTTGAAACGTCAAAGTCTTTAATCGTGAACGATTTGGGACGAAAGGCCAACAATTTGTTTTCTAGTATGTAGGGGTGTTTATAGGCTGTGTGTGCCTCCAAACTGTAAAATAGTACAGTATAGTGTCCAGTGTATAAGTTTGTAGGCATTAAAATTTTCTTCTGGCTAACTTAAAATTGTTGAATTCACTAGTTTGCATAAACGTTTAAGAATTTGAAAACACAGTTGAAAAACAGTGTTACTAAGAAATTTTCTAATAAACATGATCAAATGAAAACAGTTTTACAGTAAGATTTAAATTCTTTGTCCACAGAAAGTGAATTCATTGTATTTTACTTTTTGGGAAATGTTGGAACTGAAGAACTGCAACTGTAATTTGAAATAAGGAAAACTTTAATTTTCAGTATAGAAACTGCTCAAATAGAATTGCCTGATTTTAATGACAAAAGGTAAGTACACAGTTTGTGAATTTTTTTTTCTGTTTTTCTTGAATACGTCATTGAGTTCATGTGAAAAATTCCGTTTGTAACAGCACAAATAGATTATTGATCCAGTTATAGTCATTAAAAGTAAAATTATTTTAGAATTTTGATTTCTTGTATCACTTAAATTGACTGTTCTTTTTCACTAATTATTGAGCCTTTATTGTGTTGTTGATTATATCAGTATACATTTATTACTATAATTCTGTATTTACAGTTTTTCTTCATTTGAGGGCTTCTTTTTTTTTCCCCTAGGTGAATTAGAGTTTAATGTATTACAGGTCCTATACTACGGATGGGAACTATTACAGTTTATAATGTCAAAAACTTTTCTTAGACCAAAGGTATCTTCCACAAAGGTATGATACACTAGAATGGCCGTGAAATAATTGCCTTAAAATAACTATAAATTTTTATATACATTCTTAATAACTTATTACTGCTATCAAAGTAATAGAGCCCAGTATGTATTGTAATTAGAGGTTTAAGCAAGTCTGGTAATAAGTTGTGAAACAAGTGTTCTCTAAAAGCACAACCTTAATTTTGAAGGCTTACAACCTTAATTTTGGCTGTTTACAGTCCCAGTCACAAAGAAAACACTGAAAACATTTGAATGAAAGAACATAGAAGAAAGAAATATGAGTGGTAGTTGGTGTTACAGCTTAATCAAAAGCCCTGCTTCTTAGAAGTAATGGGATTCAGTGTGTCAGTTCTCAGCAAGATAGGGGTTAAGGTGGGATGGGGATCAGTTTGCAGGGTAGCTATTTCCCTAAGTGGTGGCTCTAAATTTTATTTGATGTTAAGTAAATTACCTAACTTTTATGTTTATCTTTCTCTTTTTTTCAGTATATGGGAGTCCACATTTATGTAAGAAATGAAACTATAAAATGTATAAATAATTTCCAAATCAGAACTGCTATCAAAAGGTTTACTATCACAAAAGATATTTTTATACACTCAAAAACATAGAAGGGGCCAAAATTATAGTACCAGTCACAATTTTTTGATGAGGATGAAGTGAATCAGGCAGCTATGACTGAAATTTTTCCCAGTGGTCATCCTTTTTTAATCCACTGCCAATAATATTCCTAACTCTCTGTCTTAAAAGAAGAGTGAAGTGTGACTTAGCATTCATAAAGTATTCATAAGCCCCACATTGTCTCCCCTAAGCTTACTTTCAGCTCCAACTTCTGGTTCATTTTCTCCAAGAGAGGAACATTGTTTAATGAATAGCTCACAAATATAGCTGAATATTCTTGAAGGAAAATATAATTTTTTGTTGTTAGGCAGTAGATTCTACAACCAGATCTTAAGCTGTATTTTTCTGGATTTATATTAAGAGTATTAAAAATCTATTAAAATTTTCTAATTTCTGATTATTTGTAATTGTTAGCTAATAATTTCTAATTATTAGCAAAACTTTTTTTTTTTCTGAGACAGGGTCTCACTCTGTTGCCCAGGCTAGGGTGCAGTGGGATGATCATGGTTCACTGAAACCTTATCCTCTTGGGCTTAAGTGATTCTCCCACCTTAGCCTCCCAAGTAGCTGGGAATATAGGCGTACACCACCATGCCTGGCTAATTTTTTATTTTTTGTAGAGTTGGGGGTCTCCCTATGTTATGCTAGCTGTTCTCAAACTCCTGGGCTCAAGCTATCCTACTGCCACTGCCTCTGTGTCTGAAAGTGCTGGAATTATAGGCGTGAGTCACCACAGCCAACTGTTCCTAGGCATTTCTGAATGACATGGAAAGCCTGCCTCGATTATAAAAACATTAGTTGCTTCATGCACTGAAGAAAAAAGTGTAATCCTGTCTTAATTACAGATTGCAACTTTAGGATCCTTGGCCTGTACCTTCATTAAGTCTTAAAGCTGATACGGATTATTTGGATGTATGAAATTGTTCTTAGTTTATGAACGTATTAACCTGGTCAAGGCAGGTTAATACGTTCGCAATCTCTTCTTACTGCTGTTTCTGTTAAAATAATATCATTTAATCCTTTATTTTGTTTTGCTTTTTTTAATAGGTAATTTAATATTTATGTTTCGGTCCTACAGAGAGCTAAAAAAAATCATTCTAGTCTTTATGATGGGAAGATTACAATTAATAAAAATAAGTTTGTGTTCTTTACTCCTTTATGTGGCATTTATCATTATGGTCAAGTAGACAAGTATTCACTTATACTTACTGTAAAGTAGAAAAACAACTATTACAGAGAGAGACAGTTTTATTTAAAAAGAATTAATTTATAAGATTTTTAGGCCGGGTGTAGTGGCTCATACCTATAATCCCAGCTCTTTGGGAGGCTGAGGTGGGAAAACTGCTTGAGCCCAAGAGTTGTTTGAGACCAGCGTGGGCAACATGGCTAAACGCCATCTCTACAAAAAATGCAGAAAAATTAGTTGGGCATGGTGGTGCGTGCCTATAATCCCAGTTACTCAGGAGGCTGGGGTGGGAGGATTGCTTGAGCTGAGATTGTACCACTGTGCTGGTACAATCTCAGTCTGAGTGACAAAGCGAGAACCCCGTCTCAAAAAAAATTTTTTTTTTAGATTTTAAAGGTTATAAATTTATGAATATGTTGTTTCCAGAGTAGTTTAGTTATATAGGAAGTAGATGGGAAAAATGTGATTATATTTACCTGATTTCTTCTTTTCCAGGTAACAGACTGGGTTGACCCATCATTCGATGATTTGCTAGAGTGTAGAGACATCTCTACTATTACTACCACATCATTAGGTGTGAACAACTCAAGTCATAGAAGAAAAAATGGGCCTTCTACATTAGAAAGTAGCATATTTCCAGCTAGAAAAAGAGGAAATCTATCTTCGTTAGAACAGATTTATGGTTTAGAAAATTCAAAAGAATATCTGTCTGAAAATGAACCATGGGTGGATAAATATAAACCAGAAACTCAGGTACTAAAAAGCATGCAGACATATGTACATAATTTAATTTCAGGATGCATAGGGTGGATAGGAAGCAGAAGGATGTACATTTTCAGATTTTTTTACTCATAAGAATCTAAGTGTTAGAAAAAATTCTGGATTGTTTTAGTTTTCAAGGCTCAGACTTACCTCAATACTTTTTCTAAAGTTGTATCATTGGTTCTTTTAGATTTAATTTAATCCTAACATAGAATTGATCTTTTTTTAAATTTTTGTACTAAATGTAATACTACTCTACTGTCTTCTCAAATGTATTTCTGGATTTTAAAAAATGTTATAATTACAGACTTGCCAAAATTATCATACAGAGTATCAACTTAAGAATAGAATTTTTCTAAAATAATATAAAAATTCAGATCAGAAGGACCATTTCATTATATAGATTGTTACTGATTTGTTACTTTTTGTTAATAATGCTTAGGTTAATATGTACTGATGTAACAAAAAATCTTCAGTTAAAATGTTTTGTTTTAAATTTGAAATTTTTGTTGTAGCATGAACTTGCAGTGCATAAAAAGAAAATTGAAGAAGTTGAAACCTGGTTAAAAGCTCAAGTCTTAGAAAGGCAACCAAAACAGGTAATTAAGAAATGTGTTTTAAAACATTTAACATCAAATATTTTTCTGACTTACAGTGTGGTGTTAGAAGTTGAAGTTTTATGATGATTTTGTTCTAAATAAGTCTAGATCTCCTCCAGTAGAAAGCTCCCTGGTGAGGCGTGGTGACTCATGCCTGTAATCCCAGCACTTTGGGGGAAGCCAAGGCAGGAGGATCACTTGAGCCCAGGAGTTTTAGAGCAGCCTGAGCAACACAGGGGGAGACTCTGTCTCCATAGCTAATTAACTGGGCACTGTGGTGCCTAGCTACTTGGGAGGCTGAGGTGAGAAGATAACTTGAGCCCAGGAAGTGGAAGCTGTGGTGAGCTGTGATCACACTGGTATACTCTAGCCTGGACAACAGAGCAAGACCGTTAAAAGAAAAACGGAAAAAGAAAGCTTCCTGACTACTACTTCCAACTTCACTAAAAGACTCAGAGACTTTGAGTTTTCCCCTTTATTTGTAACTCTTTTTCTGTATGTCTTATTATTAGCATAAAAAATCAGTAAACCAATTAGGATGCTAATGTATTTAGCACATCAAATTATCTCAGGCTAAGGAAAGCAGGCAAATTACACATTTGTTTCTATACTAAATATAGCCCAAAACAGTCATTATTTATTTTAGACTGTTGTTTTTTGTTTCACTTCCTTACTGCACAATTACCCTGAACCCCCAAGGTAGCATATCTTTCCTTCCATCAATCTCTTTTTAGATTTTTTATTTTGAGATTTTTTTAAGCATAGAGGAAAAGAGAATAATACAAGTACTCATGTATACAGAATATACTCATTGTTTCTCCATTAGGTTTTTTTTTTTTTTTTTTGGAGACGGAGTTTCACTCATGTTACCCAGGCTGGAGTGCAATGGCGTGATCTCGGCTCACCGCAACCTCCACCTCCTGGGTTCAGGCAATTCTCCTGCCTCAGCCTCCTGAGTAGCTGGGATTACAGGCACGCACCACCATGCCCAGCTAATTTTTTGTATTTTTAGTAGAGACGGGGTCCCACCATGTTGACCAGGATGGTCTTGATCTCTTGACCTCGTGATCCCCCCGCCTCGGCCTCCCAAAGTGCTGGGATTACAGGCTTGAGCCACCGCGCCCCCGGCCCTCTTCATTAGGTATTTTAAAGTAAGTTGTAAACAATGTGACATTTCAGTTAGACTTTTGGATACCTCCATATGTCTCTGTTTTTTTAGAAAAAACATGATTTTCCTAATTAATTATACATACCATTATTCTCTCTAACAAAATTAACCAGGATGCCCTAATGCTATCTAATGATCAATTTATATTCATGTTTCTACAGTTGTCCCCAAAATGTCTTTTGTAGCTGGTTTGTTTCAAACAGGATCTAATCAAGGAGCACACGTTCAATTTGGTTGTTACATCCCTTAGGCCTTTTCTTTTTCTGAATCTAGTAATAGTTTACTTAATGCTTTCTTTTTCTCCAAGACATTGACTTATGAAGGGGATCAGGCCAGTTGACTTGTAGAAGTCTCACACTCTGGATTTGTTAGGTTGTTTCTTTCTAATGAAGATTAACTTGTTTTATCCTGCATTTCCTATAATCTGTAGTCTCAGCTACTCAGAGAGCTGGCTTGAGCCCAGGAGTTCAAGGCTGCAGTGAGTAGCTGGGACTACAAGCATGTGCCACCACATCTGGCTAATTTTTTTTTTTTTTTTTTTT